AACAGAATCTTGGTATTGTATTGTTTAGATTGATAAATTATTATAGTTTAATTATAAGTCATTGTAAAGAGATTTTTTTATATATTTGTACTACATTTCTGATGTATCTGTGTCCCATAGGAAGCCTATGATTCATAACTAATGTTTGTTCCTGTCAGGGTAAACTTGGAGTTCCTGGATTACCAGGATACCCAGGGAGACAAGGACCGAAGGCAAGTCTTTATTTATCTTTGATCAACGTCGTTCACTGATATCAGAATAATAGATAGAGTTCATCTGGGCTCAATGGGTTTCTATGTGTTCAAAAGAGAATGAAAAATGCTGCTGTGCTGAGCAGTTGATGCCTCATCATTTAGCGTCTCTCAGGCTGAGCTGCAGTCTGACAGCTTGAGATGCTTGAGGGGTCCTGATCAAAGTGTTGTGGGGGGAGGAAGGGGGTTGGGGTGTTCGTGCGTCAGCCCTCAGATGCTGATGAGATAACAATAAAACACTGATTCTCTCCGACTAACAGGCTGGGAGGATCTCAGGTGACTAATTACTCTTCTTCTGACACACAGGGATCTCAGGGTTTCCAAGGCTTCCCAGGCGCTAACGGAGAAAAAGGATCTCGGGTACGTACGCTAAACAGGTCTCTTATTATCTGTGTCAGCCCTGAAGGTGTTGGACAGGTGGACTCGTCCCAAACGCAGGTTTATCCTGAACCAGATTTCACAGAGACAGCTTGTGTAGCTTCCATAAACAGTGTTTCTCACTCTGTGGTGTCGGAGCAACGTGTTCTTAGCTTTGTTTAAGGAATAGGCCATTAGCTCGCCTGAAAGAGTAATGGTTTGTCACCACGTCTGGAGCCCAGCCAATAAAGCTTTTCATCTTCACAGGACATTTAGGAGGTTTATGAGACCCAGCTCCAAGACAGAAAGGGATAATAATGTTTTCTGACCGTTTCAAAGCACTAATCTAAAAGTTAAAAGCTGCACAAAAGATTCAGCTGTTGTCTCATTAAACTCAAAAGGACCCATTTTATTTATATTGCAGTATAACTATTTTATTTTGTGTTAATGTTTATTAAAAAGTTATTTTCCAGGGAAGTAATGTCTCAAATGTTGGCAGTGATAAATGTTAAAGCGAGTAGCTCTTAATTAAGGGTGCCATCGCAAAAGTTCTGGAGCTTAGGTGCCTCTTTGTCTTGGAGCTTATCGCACAGTTTAGAAAAAAAAACCGTGCAAACTTGAACTCAAAAATGTGCAACTCATTTGGGAATAGTGCATTGTAAATTCTGCTAGTGGTACCTCATACACTGTAGACAAAATAAAATATAAAATCCAGAAAATAAGTAATGTATGTCAATGGGTTGAGTTCTTATAGGAACTCTACAGTTTAGACTTACATTTTATCTGTCAGCTGACATTTTAATACCCTTTATCACAGTTTACATTTACTGATTCTTACATATTTTTTACCATTACACACCCAAACTTTTAAGCAGTCTCAAGTTTACTAAATCTCTGCAAACAAACTCTTAATGCTCTCACATATTTTGGTTCATGTACAAATTACACATCAAAACATAGGCAGTTGTGTCTACTTTCGTTACGTGTTTCTCTCTTTCATGGGACCTTCTTTCTCCCAAATCTCCAAAGAATGCGTAGAGTGCACAAGTGATCTTTGATTGACTTCTGTTATAGTTTAGTCCAACTTTATAATTTTAAACTGGAAGTGTTTTAGTTTGTTTTCAAAATTTATTTTTATTAGGGGTGTCTCCATACCAGATTTTCTCAAACTGGGTATAAGTACTTCAGTTTGTGTACTCACAGATACTGAGTACTTACATTACATGATGATTATAAAAACATATTTTTTTATAATTTTTATAAATCATAAGCAGATTTGCACTGTCTAAAATTAAAGTGCAGTACCGCTAAGAACTAATTATCTACCAGTCATCATTATCTTGAACAGCAGAAGGTATGGCTGTCAATGAATCACAATGCATGTGATCTATCCAACAGCACCCCTCCCAGATAAACACATGTATTGAGAAGGTATACATCCTTGCTGACTGTTGCTTTGGGTCACGGTTTTCATTTCCCACAATGCTTTGTGTCTGCTTACGTAGCAGGAAAGCAATGTTTAGAACTCACTGCCCCAGTAAAAACAGTTAACGTTTGTAATCCATACTAAAATTTTGTTTGTATTGATTTATTTTACTTTACAATCGGAGCTCCTTTTTTAAAAAAAAGTTTAAACGCTGGAGCTCAATACTTGATGTAATTGGTCGAAGCAATCCACCAATGGGGTTAGAGACACAGATATGATTTAAAGATGTTATGCTGATGAAGACTGACATCTAGTGGTCAACTGGAGCAACTACATGGAAAACTTTAAAATCCAAGCTCTTATTTTGAAGTGAAGATAGTTTCCCGTACTCCATGCTTTCGTTTCCCGTCACAAATCAAATCCGTCATGTACCCAGAATGCATCGCTTCAGTTTTCCAATAAACAGTTTTAAAATGACTTTATTGATGCTTCTTTAATGAAAAATCTACAACAAACAAAAGAAAAAGACAAAGAAACAGCCGAACTAGCAATCCTCAACAACTTTTTAATTATTACACCGGGAGCCAAAGGTCTGTTTCAGGGAATCACATCCCCAGCAATCGGCGGTTGTAGGACTAAGCTGTAAAAGAGTTCATACACCACTAGTTGGCAGTGTTGTGCATATATTGTATATGAATTCTTGCCAGCTAGTAAGAGTTAAATTGAACTTGTGCTTTAAAATTAGCTTCTGCTAGTTTTTCTGTGGCATGAGCACTTTTGAAGTTGCGGACCTAAATATTTTCATAAGCGCTTTGGAAATTACGGAGCTAATTTTTGGATTTGCGCTGCCCACCACTGTTTATGTCCATGTGATGGGCTTGTGGCCTGTGCAGGGTGTACCCCACCTCTCACACTATGATAACTGGAGGAAAGCACCAGCAACCCATAACAGAAGAAAATAGGTAGATGAATCAATGTCAGAATTCTGCGCACATTCTGAACACCCTTCAGAATGTGTTCAGAAATTACAGATCAGATACAATCTTATATATGTTACAGTCCTCTTCAGATAATCTGAGTGTTTGTGTGTGTTTTTTACGTTCACAGGGAACAGGAGGAAAGCCAGGCCCACGCGGACAGAGGGGACCAACGGTTAGTCTTACTCAGCACACTTGATCTGATCCACAGATGGCAAACTTGGCATCTGAATGAATAGAGAGGCTCAATGTGGAGCTTCTTGAGGAAACACCAACCCGATACAATAATTTATGTTATTGTTTGCAGTCTAATCATTTGTTTTGCAAACTACTTTCCTTATGGATTTATTGACCTCTTATTTTACTCCAGGGGCCTAGAGGAGAAAGAGGGCCGAGAGGACCAACAGGAAAAGCTGGGCCCAAAGTGCGTAAAAAATTTCAGTGCAGCTTTCAGGTTATTTTTTATGAACAATTTCACAGTGAAGTCCTTGTTGTGTCTGTGCAGGGTAACTCAGGGAATGATGGCCCACCAGGACCTCCCGGTGAGAGGGTACGTAGCATCGCTTCATCTCATTCTGAGAACAATCGCAAGTTGGTTTCTAAGTAGAGATTGTTCTGTTTTCAGGGTTTACCAGGACCTCAGGGACCAACGGGATTTCCAGGACCAAAGGGTCCACCTGTGAGTCCAGACAGAAACCCATTCTGCCTCGTTTTTTGCTTGTCGTATGCTTTATTTCGACTGATGGATTTGTGTGACCTTTTCAGGGACCCCCAGGAAAAGATGGACTGCCTGGACATCCTGGGCAGAGAGGAGAGACTGTGAGTTCTTTGGTTTGGTTTCTCAGACCTTCAATAATCATCTAATCTGTTCTGTGACAGCAATATGGTTTCTTTTTCATACTCAGGGATTCCAAGGAAAGACGGGTCCTCCTGGTCCTCCAGGTGTGGTCGGACCTCAGGTGAGTCACATTTTTTAAAGTTTGAGTCACGATTTGATGTATTTTTGTGTTGTTTGGTTTTGATTGAGCAGCTTACATTGACTGGATGTGTTTGTAATTTTTGAGCCGTTATTGTTTATTTGGAAGCTGCACAAAAGCAAAAAAAAAATGACTAAGACATTAAGGTGTTGGTCCAACAATAGCTGATTTATTATTGTACCTGTACCACGAGAGGCGTGATTTAGTTGTTGTTTCTTTTCTTTTATATTAACACTGGCCTCTTCATCCATTATACATGAATGTTTCGCTGATTTTCCCTCCAAGCCGCTCCGCTAATGATTCATGATTACAAACTTATATTACTGCCTTAATGAGCAGTACATCTCTCACACAGCAAATCCTCAAGATACNTTTGTGACTTTACCTATTTAGTCAACAAATTAAATACAGTTTTATTTTAATAAAGTACGAATTCCATTTTGGAGTGAAAATCCTTTAAAAGATTCTGATCAAATGTGTTTCTTGGCAAAATATACATTTTTTTCATTTGTTTGTTGTCTCTCAGAGAATGTAATTAAACAGAGCAGTAATGATATAAATCCATCCTTTACAGCAGTAGGTAGGTGTTTAATTGAACAAGGTTCATTGTAAGGTCAGTGAGAAACACTCCAAATTTAGTAATTCTGCATAAACATTATGAAACTGCACTAATGTTTAAACATAATCAATTTACAGAAACTTTAATGTCAGAAAGGGCCTTGATTTGACCAAAAAAAGAAAATAAAATCTGAAAAAGTTTGAAATTGTGGAATTTCAAAATGTAAAATGTGCAGAAACTTTGGATTCAGTGTGTTAGTAACGAGTGCATCTTTGAGAAAAAAACTTTTTGGAGGCTTTTGCAGCTGTTAAAGTTTCATATTCTTATTTATATTTTACTCTTTAAATGGAGGATGGATATTTTGATGCACAATAAATCTAACAGAAAAAGAACAATATTGCTGGATGGGGGGGAGTATGACCTCCAGGCATTGTGCTGCAGTTCTAAGATGGAGGATGCATTATTAAAACCTGCTTACATAAAGTCAGATACAGTTCCTATCTCCCGCTGCTGCTTCAATATAAAGTCTTGCTTCAGCAGCTGTTAGGATGCAGAGCTGTGCACTTTGCCAACACTTTGTCTGCTGTGATGGTGTGATTAGTTGTATCAGGTTCAGTCAATAGAATCACCTCTTGCTCCTTTCTAATCTCCCTGAGGATCGCCTGTCCTCAAACACACATACTGCTCATTTGGCTCATCGCGCTCCAGCTGATAGGCTGTTTTATTGACGAGCAGCGCGACTTTTTAGCTGTAAACATATCCCTCATGTCTCTGTGATGAGCAGCTGTCTGTCATGCATTCGCTTTGAACGCTCTTAGCAGATTTTCCTCCAACACTTTGGTGGACGTGAGCAGATCTCAGATGCAACACAGCAAAAATAAAAAAGAAGAAACGGGTTGCTAAAACATGCGATTCAGCCTTGCTTATGAAAATTCATCATCCCAGCTGCTTGGTGTGGATTTATTTTAACAAGAGGGCTTTTGTAAGACAGCATAATGCTAATTTGAAGCCTCTGCTGAGAATGCAGAGCTGTTCGTGCTTGAGGGGAACCCGGATGTGCCGATCTGACACATCACAGCCCAGTTCTGCAGGAGCAGCCAGTCTGATGTGCTCTCCATCTTCCAAACATGAGAGTGTTTTCCTGCAGAACAGGTGTGGCAGGCTGCAGCTTATGTGACAGTGAATAACGATAGGGCCTGCCGTGTAGGTGAGTCAAACAGCCCAACTGCTCAACACGACACCAGGATGGGGACAAGATGTATGGGGCAGGGTCCGGCAGGAACGGTGAGGTCAGCAAACTCTCTGCTCCAGCTGCACAACTTGCCCCCCCTCTGATGGATGGAAACCTCTTGTGTCATCTCTTCTCTCATTCTGGTGACAAGGGCACCGGGACAGTTAGGGCTGACGTAGAACCCTACTGGGTCAGCAAATCCCCGACTGATAACCTACGTGTCTCTCCCTCTGTCTCACCCTCACCCCCCAACCTCCTCTCAGGGCGATGCTGGTGAAACAGGAGAACCAGGTCTTCAGGGAGAAGTTGGCCCACCAGTAAGTTTCTGATCCTTCCTGTCTTTAAATCATTAATGCAAACTGGAATCAGCAGCAGAAGACCAATCTGCGTTGGTCAAAAACTCGTTTTTACCTCAATATTTTAGGGTCCAAGAGGAGAGCGTGGAGAGAAGGGAGAAGCTGGTCCTGCTGGTGCTGCTGGACCTCCTGGTCCTAAAGGTCCTCCTGGAGATGATGGACCCAAAGGCAGCCCTGTAAGATCTGTTTTCTGTTGAAAAAAAAAACTTTTTAAAAATATATATATATATATATATATATATATTTTTTTTTTATGTTAAAATCTTGTTCTGCACTCTTCTTCTTGTCCTTCAAACCTTGTCTGCTAATGAATTTAGTACTTGAACTGTTTCTTCATGTTGTTTTTTTATACTCTTTCGTTTTGAATTGTAGGGACCAACAGGTGAAACTGGACCAATGGGAGATCGGGGTCACCCTGGACCTCCAGGCCCACCTGGTGAGCATGGCTTGCCTGGACCAGCTGGGAAAGAAGGCGCTAAGGTAAAATTCTGTCATAAATCTATATTTCCTAGCCTCACCTTTGTTTGAATTGAATTATTTTAAATCTACCTACATACATTTCTCAATGAAGCTGTCCTTTCACCTGTAGGGAGACCCTGGTCCTGCTGGCCCAGCAGGTAAAGATGGCCCCCCTGGCCAACGAGGTTTCCCTGGAGACAGAGGTCTTCCTGGTCCTGTGGTAAGTACAGACCTCTGAGTGGACTCCAAAGGAGGGATCAGATCTTTTCTTGGACTTCAGAGAACAAATTAAACATTTTTTTTGGTCTAACAACAGCTGAGTGCTCTTCAGAGGGAAAAATCACATATCTGAGTGGAAGGCAAAAGAGAATTCACTTGTGTTATTGTTTGTAAAGCTCTAAATAATGTTTTTTTCTAAGATCTCCAGTGGAACATATAAGTAAAGGAATGAAACAGTTTGGGCTACACCAGCTTCTCTTATGCAGGAGGTTTGCAGCAGTGTTTGGTAAAAACTGTTTGCTCCATCTGCTCAGCCTCTGCTTTAAGAACGACAGGAGGTTTTCCGCCTCATGCTGAGCCAGTTTAAAGACAGGGAGTCTGGAAGGCAGGATGCTTCCTCAACAGATGTGTTCTGTTTCTCTGAAACCTTTGTTTAATTTGTGCTCTGCAGGGGGCTCATGGCCTGAAAGGGAATGAGGGTCCTCAAGGCCCACCTGGTCCTGCTGTGAGTAATTTTTTTTTCATCTTCTTTCTCATCATCCTTGTTCTGTCTCCTAGAGTTCCCTTCATCCCAAAGAATTATATAATAAATCTGATCTTTACACAGGAGGCTGATACTGATGTTAGGCTTAAAATTTGATATGGGGTATGGGATTTACCGTATTTATTCATGCATAATACGATATCGAGTACAATATGATCATCATTGTCTTAAAAAGCATAAAAAACCTAATCATCAATAACCTGTGTATAATACTACCCTCCAACTTTATGGATGATTTTTAGGGTAAAATTTCTAGTATTATACATGAATAAATACAGTAAATATTTAGTTTTTAACTAAATATTTAGGTTGCAACTTAAATATTTAGTTTT